TGCTGTAGTAAACAATTCGTGCATGTTCTTCTGTTACCACAGAGGTTTTAAATTATTATTATATTAGTTAACAGATACATACAATTAAAGAAGAATATCATTATTGATATTCATAGTATTACACTGAAATGTTTTATAATAGGTAGAAGATGTAGTTCATAGCTCTTTGTGGCTAATCCTATGTTTGGTTTTACTCTGCTTTCAGTAACATTGTGCAAACCTGCTCAAAATTAAAACAGGGAAAATATGACTTCAATACATAGTGGATTTTTTCCCTAACTCTGTGGTCTCACTTAGATAGTGCGCTGTATGCTTTTCCATGCCCATGCTATATTATCATAAGTCATGCAGAGTATATTGGGATTCATTAACATTGCATATGTCTGATCAATTATTAAAACATCTATATAGTCTTGAATTTCTAACTGATACTCAAAAACAATTCAAGATGTATATCTATGATTGATGATTTTGGTATAATTCTCTTGGTAGTGAAATTGGACTTTGCTTTTCAGAAATAACTAAACATAACCAGTGTAATAATATACCTTGAATGGAGCTCAATTTTTCTTTTCTTTTTTTAATTCTTTCCATTTTTTAGTGAAATATCATTGACATACAATATTATTATTAGTTTCAGGTGTACAAAATAGTGATTCAACATTTAATCATGTTGAAACGATCACCGTAAGTCTAGTTACCATCTGTCACCATACAGAGTTATCCCAATATTATTGATTATATCCCCTATGCTGTACATTACATCCCTGGAACTTATTTATTTTTTAAGTTATTTTATGGAGTTTATACCCTTTATTCCCTTTACCTATTTCACCCATCCTCCACCTGACTCCTCTCTGGCAACCACCAGTTTGTTCCTTGTATTTATGAGCCTGTTTGTTTTGTTTTGTTTGTTCATTTGTTTTATTTTTTAGATGCCACGTATAAATGAAATCATTTGGTGTTTGTCTTTCTCTGACTTCTTTCACTTAGCATAATACCCTCTAGGTGAATAGAGCTCATTTTGAATCATGGTGCATTTCAGTAGGAAGGTGAGATTGAGGTAAGAATTTACAGCCAAATATATACCCTGTGGGGTAGAGATAAAAATGTATATGGCCATTGAGGGTGACCCTTTATAGATTTGTGGAAAATGGGAGCAGTTACTAGAGCTTTAATACTTAAAAATATCCTATCATTATATCCTAGTGGAACAATGGAATAAAAACCTTTCTGAAAGCCTGAAAGAAATATGGGTTATAAATTAAACATTCAGGAGGATGAAGTGCTGACCATTAGCTGATAATTAAGGACAGTTTCCCTATTCAAGAGAGAAAAGATTTGTTACTCCTTTTGGGATCTACTCTTGGGCTTCACCTACAACAGACTACCAGTTTTTCACAAAAAACAATAAAAACTGGCCCTCGAGCTTCAGGTCAGATGTAGTCCTAGGTCAGGGAGGAACTGCCACCCGCTTTTCAGTAAATGACTTTATCTAACTACACTGGACAGGGCTGTCGTGTGAGTCACCAAGTCACTGGCCCTTACCTCCAAAACCCCTCTGCTAAGCTTTGTGACATGGGGGTTGGGTCTCTGCAAACCACGTTTCTGCTTTGCCAACTGGTTCCCTGTGGTCCCCCTCCCGCCATGGCAGCAGGCAGGAGGGAGGCTGAGCAGCTGACGGGGAGGGCTTTCCTTCTGGTGGGCTTCCGTCTGCCCCTGTGGCTGTGAGCCTCACCTCAGCCATGCTGCTCCACTCAGCAACAGCAGCTGACACTGCCATAGGGACCCACTTCACAGTCGTAACCCTTGAGGACAGCATTCCTCCTCCATGGACACCAGCATCCTGGCTCAGCCGCACGGCACCCCCTGCTCAGAGGTCTGGGACTCAGTTTTGTGGGACTCCCCTCTACGTTTCTCTTCAGTCCCCCAAAGTAGACAGGGGGACCATCTGCTTCTGGCAGTTGCTACCTCTGCAGTGGTTTCCTGTTCTCTATTTTACCTTTTCAGCACTTTGAAACATTATACACTTAGCTATCGATTCTTTGTATTAAATTGTGTTAAAATAACTTGTGTCATTTCTTTTGACTGATACAGTTGTACGAGGAGAAAAGGAATGAAAACAACTCAGCCACAACAACTGGTCAACTAAGAGGGCTCATACTTTTACAAAGATTCACATTTACTTGGAAGGTCAAATGGCTAAAGTTTATAAATATTTTATGAAGAGGGAGTAATGTAAAAGTACTCTGAGAATTGACTGAATCCAGTAGGTTTTCTCAGTCCTTGCACTGTGGGTTTGCTGTATTATTTATGAATGTTTAATTCTGCTACAGAAGGCATGAGAGACAAATGATGCATTAGCCAGGGCTCTCCAGAGAAAGAGAGCCACTAGTGTACGTGTATATGAAATAGGAATTGGCTCCTGTGGTTCTGAAGGCCAGGAACTCCCAGGAACCCTCCTGCCATCTTAAGCAGAAGAACCAGAAACTCCTGGGACATAATTCAGTCTGAGTCCAAAGGTGTGAGAGTCGGGGGTGTAAGCCCTGGTCTGAGTCGAAAAGTTCAAGAGCAGCGGCACCAGTGTCTGAGGACAGAAGCTGAATGTCTCAGCTCAAGCAGAGAGACCACTGCCCCCTCTGCCTTTTTGTTCTACCCCATTGGTGAGGATGAACCTTTCTCACTCAGCATTGATTCAAATGCTAATCTTTTCCAGAGACAGCCTGCAGACACACCCAGAAACAATGTTCTACCTGCCATCGGGTCACCCGTTAGCTCAGACAAGTCCATGCGGGCAATTAACCATCACAGATGGGATGGACGAAACTCCTCAGTGTTAAGCATAGCCAATAAGTAAGCTAGTAGCTTATGAGTTACAGGTAAAACTCATAGGATGTGTTAAAGATACAAAATGGGTAAACAAGTAGCTTGAAAACCATGAGCAGAATTCATAAGATATGTTCACTATAGATAGCACATTAGTAACATTCAAGACATCTTATATGAAACTAGGATTAAACCAGGAAAAGTGTCTGTTTCTAGAAAGAAAAATAAGAGACGACCAGGTCGTAAGGTACAGTTCACGTCACCTCTGGATCGGCAGCTAATCATCCCTAAGTCGGCTCCTCATGCGGACCCGTCCTGGCTCTATTTGTGCTCGGGTTAAGAAGCGCAGACAAAACCGTGTCTGTTCAGCAGGCCCCTTGGCAGCGCAGCCAGGCCACTTGCGCGCTAATGGAGGAAGTGCCCTTCATTGACCCGGGCACTTCCTGTTCGGCTCTCAGACTCTCTGCTACTAGAAGGAGGGAACCCAAGTTTCACAAAGGGGGCTTCTTTCTCCCTGCTTGTGCTCTGTGCTGTGGTGAATTATTCCACCCCTTGCTGTGTCTCACTGTGTGTTCTGAATTGATTAATAAACCATGTGATCTGGGCATCTTGATTGTGTCTGTAAGGCTCTCTGTTCAGTGAACTTAAGGATCAATTTTGTTTCTGTAGAAAGGGCAGCTGGAACTTTGCTAGGGATCGCATTGCATCTGTACATAGGTTTGGGAGTACTGACATCTTACAGATATTCAGGCTCCCAATTCATGACACATGATGCCTCTCCATTTATTCAGGTCTTTCAAAATTTTTTCGATGACAATTTGTAATTTGCAGTGTACAAGTCTTACATTTGTTTTGTTAAATGTATTCCTAAGTATTTTTTGATGCTATTGTAAATAATAAAAAACGAATGGAATATTATGTAACTATTAAAATGCAATTTAGAAAGTCTGGTATAACAACAGAAATTAATATTTGAAGTAAAGTATAATCACATTGCAAGGTGATTTTTATTTAAGGTTAAAAAAAAAGAATACTAAATCATATGCATTATAAAATTGTTTCTATGGAACCCAAAATAAGCAAATAAACCTGTGTATAGGAGTTTTAAAATAAAAGGAAGAATGTAATTTTTCTTGTTCCACCTTTTTGTAATTTCAAACATGGCTTTAATGACACCAGTTACTTTTGTAGCAAAAACTCCAAATACATAATTCTAAAAAATCCAGCAATCTAGAATTATTTGGGTGGTCAAAATAACCAGACTGGACTATGTCTGATATGTCCTTTCTGAGAGCTTTTGCATGTTTATTCTTGTGATGTTAAAAATAAAATTGCCAGTGTTACATTAAAAAAAAAATAAATTAATTAAAAAAAAAAAAATAAAATAAAATTGCCATATTTGACATCACATTTATACCAGTTAATTGCATAAGAATTTCTCTTGCTGAGAGTGGTGACAAATCAAAAGCTCTAGAGCCCAAGATCTCTCTGAAATAAAAGGGTTTATTGAGCCTTTACAGAGGCAGCCAGAAAAGCACTGAGTCTTGGGATGGGAAGTTTCTGCTTCACCAGCAGCAGGGCCAGAAACAACTTGTCTGCCAGACTCAAGAAACAGGGGACCTTTATGAGGGGTCTCAAAGAACTTTCTCTAAATCCACATTGGCTACAGGTAGGGGAGGTGGGCCCACACAAGGTGGGGAAAGCCTGAGGACACTTGGTGAGTCCATAGAGAACACTTGTGGTTTGGTTGTTGATGGGGGTCAGACACTGGTCACGCACAGGGGGATGCGGTGGCTCTGGGGCCCTTCAAGGTGACTATTGAGAGGACTTCCTCCAGGAGTAGAGATTCTGCTTAGCTCTGTCCCTCGGCTACTGCCTGATAACCTTCCCTTGTCTCTCTCCCCTATTCTGGCCCTTCTGCCACTTAATTTAGGACATTTCAGAATTTTTCCTTATCTGCAGGTGTTGTAATATTCATTTACATAATGTTTAGATGCAAATTGTATCTATATTCTACTTATTAGATTTTGTTTCCTAAAGATTTTTATTCCCCATTGAAGTTTATTCATACCATACATTATTATAGATAATCTTTAGGTAGATTAACAGTCAGTATATGGTTAAAGAAGGTGTATCAGCAGAAAACTGTACATTTGACATCACTGGAAAATAATTTTTATTTTTCATGGAGCAAATAATTCAAATTCTGGCTGCACCATGTAGATCATTGACAGGACCAGTCTATTATGCCTCCTGACTGTTAATTTCATGGGTACAAGAAAAAACAGACCAGCATCTCTTATACTTGCTGTCCACATTGCCTGGAAAAGACAGATATATAGTCATGTATAAGAAAATGATTTACGGTTGGAATCCTCCATATCCATAAAACGTATCTCTTACCATTACTAAAAAAGTGAATTCCTGATCATGTGGAGAATGTGGAGCAGATGTGAACCCCGTTTGAGCTTCTCACCTCCTCTTTCTCCCTAGGCTTTTGCTGCTGACCAGTGCTTCATGCTGGAAAGATTATACCCCACACTTTAAGTGGTTGATAATTCTAACCTACTAATTTAGCTAACACTTCTTGTGAGCATTGTTTACTTGACATAATATGTTTGAGACTTAATGGAAAAGTGCAGTTCCTGGGCAGCATGCCTTCATTTACTGAACCACCATGGGACCTTCAGTACTTGATTTAACTACTCTGTTCTTTGGTATTGTGAGGTTTTCAGCCAAACCTATTGACCTGTGCTCGTTAAGACCAGTTGTCTATAAAACACCTGCTTTCCTGAGAAAGGATCCTATTACTAAAAAGTAGCTAGCTCTTGCCAAAAAGAGGGCTTAAATCTCTTTGGCTGGCTGGAGGCTTTATCAGACTGCCAGTCTGGTCTTTGTAGTCATTGTGCCAAGCTTGAATCTCTTCCTTCTTCTTTTGTGCTGGGAAGGTCCTGCTGTGAATCGCTTTCCATCCTCCCTCTTGGAAGCTGGGTCATGCTGTGCTCAGCCCTGCATCTAGATCACTGCTGTGATATGCTGAGTGCAATGGTTCCAGTTCCTGCTACCTGGGGAGTCTTTTAGGTGCAAGGACATCCGAGGAGTTACAGTCTGCCCCTCCCTCTCCGTCCCCTATCGCTGTCAGCTAACGCTGCACCTTTCCCTGCTTCTGACCTGGTCCCCCCCAGGAAAGGCAGGACAGCAAAGGCGGGCATGCTACCATCCATTCCTTTGTTCCATGGACAGCTAGGTCCAGCTGTGCTCTCTTAAAAACGGAAATAATTCCACACGGGAGGCCATCTGAAACTCAAAATACCTTAGGGAAAAGGAGAAGCAGAATCTAGGGCACCTGACTCTGTGACCTTGGGCTAGAAGCCACATTTCTTCAGATCTCAGTTTCCACCTCTGAAAAAGGTAGGGCGGGCTAGATCTGTTTCTTTGTTTTCTGCAGGTGGTTAGAATGCTTTGGGAATCTGATGAAAGCCATGGACTTTCTCCTTGGAATAGGGCACATGTGCAAATTAAAAATAAACAAACAAACCAATAGAACCATGGACACAATCTCTAACATCATTTTGAAGTCTTACATTCTGCGATTCCCATCTTGTCCCCCGTACTTGACCTGACTCGAATGTCATCAGCGCTGATGTGTGTCCCTCAGGCCTCATTTCTGTGTGATGTCACATGTCTGTTTTCCATTACCTCTGTTTAAGGGGTCGCCTTTGGGCACAATCATGAAACTGTGATGAGAAACTATAGGGCTCGATCACTGGCCATTTCTTTTCACTTTTGAAATGTATGTCTCTTTTTTTGTAATTACTTTTTTAAATTGCAGCAAAATATACATTAAGTTAACCATCTTGACCCTTTGTAAGTGTACCGTTCAGCGGGATAACTGCACCCATCATCATTATGCATCTCCAGAACTCTGTCCCCATGAAACACGAACTTCCCATTCTTCCAGCTCCTGGCAACCCCCGTTCTACTTTCCGTGTCTGTAATTTTCTGACTATTCCAGGTAGCCCATGTAAGTGGAATCACATAACATCTGCCCTTCTGTGGGGCTGGCTTATTTTACTTGTTATATTGTCCTTAAGGTTCATTCAAATACAGAATTTCATCCCGCTTTAAGGCTAAATTATTTCATTGTGTATCTGAGTCACATTTTGCTTATCTATTCACCCACTGATGAACACTTGGGTTGCTTCCACATGCGGCTCTTGTGAATAATGCTGCTATGAACAGATATGTACAAAAATCTGTTTGAACTCCTGCTCTCAGTTTTTTGAGGTACCTACCCAGAAGTAGAATTGCTAGATTATATGGTAATTCAAAGTTTAATTTTTTGAGGAATTGCCACGCTATTTTCCGTAGTAGATGCACCATTTCGCATTTCCGTGCACAGTGCACAAGTATCCCAATTTCTCCACATCTTTGCCAATATTTGTTTTTTTCTATTTATTTTTAATAGTAACTAACCATCATAATGGGTGCGAGGTGATATTTCATTGTAGTTTGATTTAAATTTCTCCAATGATTAATGATGTTGAGCATCTTTTCATGTGTTTATTTGCCATTTGTAGTTCTTTGGGGAAATGTTTATTCAAGTTCTTTCTCTTTTAGACTAAGACATTTACATTTTTTTCTGTGCTTTTCCCCCTTTTCATCTTCTATGTATTAGATTTTTTTGCTTGCTTGGTAGTGCTAAAGTACATACATTAATTTTGTGGTAGTTGTTAGTGTAAAAAAGTTGGGACAGTTGCTTTATTTATTAATACTACTACTATTTCATTTATGTTTCTGAAACTGAAATGAGTCTTAAAAATAAACATTAAAAGAAACTCACCTACTATTAATTAATTATAAAATAATTCTTACCATTACCCACCCACTAATGTAGCTACACTTTAAAGACTCTATGTAAAGAATCAGTCAGGTTACTTTTGTTATTTCCATTGATACCATTTTAGAGGGTTAAATTTTAATTAATATTTGGATTACTAATTATTTTTAAAAGCCTTCAAAAAAAGTACACCCTGATGCAACATTGAAATTAAAATACAAACATTTCACAGATTGTTACATGCCAGACAATGCCATGAGAAACAGGAAAAACTCCAAGTGTTTATAAAAATCCCCTGGAAAACTATAAAATACTCAGAAAATAAATGACATTTGAAGCATGACATGCCAGAATTGGGGAACAAATAGAAAGCAGAATATAACGTAAATTTATGTCTTTGGATACATTTACCAGAAAGCAAGTGAGAATGAAAACATCCCCTGTCCTCTGAGATAAAACACGTGCTAGAATAGCTGCTTGGACTCAGAGAAGAAAGGCACACCTTGAGGCCCTAAGGCTTTGTATTGCCCGTTATCTGGACCTTTAGTTAGAGGGAAACACACTTCTGACTTTCTTAACCCACAGGTAGTTTGGGGTCTGCTGGAGTTGCTAGCTGAGCCCATATCCTAACCAACAGAAATGTCCTTCCCAGCACATTATAAGTTTACCTTATATAAGAGAAACTCCATCCCAATGAACTAGAAGCCTCAATGGGAAAGGGTAAACCACAACACTTACAAAAGCAGGAATGTTCCTGAAATTTGAGGTGGGGAAGGTGCTTTAAATAAGACACCAAAGTACTTTACAAAAGTACTTTATCAACCCCTTGGAGACCCAGCCTGTTGGGAGTCATATGAGGTGTCCAAAAACACTATCAATAAAAAGTGTGTTGATTGTGGAGACCTGCTATCTGAGATGAGTTTTAGAATTTCAAGACTTGTGTCATCAGAAAGAGCATAAGGAGGAAAAAAGAGAGATTTGATGACAAAATTAAGATTCTTGTTGAATGAAAGACACCACAGAAAAGGTTAAGTGAGTGACAGATAAGAAGATGAGAAGATTTTTTTCAATGTGCAAATCTAGAACATGGTTAAATATCTGGAATATACAAGGAGCTCTAGTCAGTCAAAAAGAAAAAGATAGGGAATTGTATTCACTTTCTGTAAGCTGTTGTAACAAATGACCACAAACTTAGGGCTTAAAGCAACACAGATTTATTATTTTACAGTTTTGGAGGTCAGAAGTCTGACACGGTTCTCACTGGGTTAAAATCCAGGTTTCTGCAGAGGTCTATTCCCTGTACATATGCTAGAGGAAAATCCGTTTCTTTGCCTTTCCCAGTTTCTAGAGTCGCCAGCCTTGCTTGGCTCATGGCCCCTCCCTCCCTCCTCACGGCCAGCAATGGCGCCTGAGTCCTCCTCACATGCCCCACTCTGGTCTTTCTGTCTTCCCTTTCTACTTTTAAAGCCCCTTGTGATTACACTGAGCCCACTCGGATAATCTGGGATACTCTCCCTAATTTTAAGTCAGCTAATTAGCAGCCTTAGTTACACCTGCAACCTTAACTCTCCTGTGCCGTGCAAAGTTACATACTCATAGGTTCCAGGGATTAAGATGTGGCTATCTTTGGAGTCAGCATGACTCTGCCTACCAGATACACATCAGACCAAAAGACAAAGGATATGAATTTCCAGAAGGGGGAACACTACTGTTTAACAAATTATGGTCAGAAACTAGCAGCCTAATGATCTTATGTGTCATCTGGAAGTTAGTTAATTTATTCAATCAGAATATTTATTGAGCCGATAACATGGGCTAGATTCCAACGGAAAAACAAAAACACAGATCTTCAAGTGGTCAGCCATAGACCCCCTTGGAAACCCAGTCTGTTCCCGGTCATACGAGGCATCCAAAAACACTATAAATAAAAAGTGCATTGATTGTGGAGACATGCCAAATGAGAAGACGATCTTTAGAATGTCAAGAATTTTGTCCTCATTGGGGAGTGAATGTGACACAGTCTTTAATCTTTCTCATTGCTGTGCAAGTTACCTCCACAAATTAAGAAAGGACTCAAAACATTAAAAAAAAATTCCAGTATTGGTTCTGGACTGCCTTTTTATATTAACTAATAACTGGCTTTCCCTAAGAGACATCTAACTTTAAATTGACCCAGCACTGAAAAATATGCTAAGTATCAAAATGAATTCTGTATAAGTGACCTGAATCACTATTTTACTTACAGATCCAAGATACATTTAGCACAGCTCCATCGCCAGCCAAGGCAGGGCTGAAAGTCAAGGTTATATTCTGAACTTCAATTAAATAGATTACATTCAAGTGGAGCATAAATGGAGGTATTATTTTTAAAGTTGAGAGAGGTTGCAAATAGGGGAGCCACCTGAAGATCACAGGAAAATAAATCTTTGTGCTGGATCCTTAAGGGGCTGGGCTCTAATTTCTTTTTTTCCTGGAAGTAGT